ACTCGCACAGAATGACCTGAGAAAAAATAAATGGCAACGCGCAGCAGATTAGCCGGTGCGATCATGCGCTTTGTGCAATTCAGCCCATCGAACGATTGCCTGTTAATGATTTTCAGTGCTCTGTACTATAGTCTATGCAAAAATAGTTCAAACACTGGAAAACAGTTAAAAATTTCACGCACCAGCGTATGGAAGCTGAATTCAAAACCTTGAAGGATGAATATCTTTCCGTATTTCTCGAGTTAATAGTTTACCTGACAAAATTTTGACAAGGCCGTAGATGGTAACCGAGAGCGCAAGAACGCTAAATTTGAATGGGCAAGGTTGAGGGTGGGCAGGGGGGCATTACCCTAAAACTTCAGCCTCCTAGACTACGTGGTTCCCGAGACATTAACTTACCCGTGAATAACTTTCACGGAGCCGTACGTATTACCCGCGGTTAAGGGAAGGCTGAATTCGAATGGGCAAGGTTGAAAATGGGCAGGGGGTCATTACCCTAAAACTTCAGCCTCCTAGACTCCGTGGTTCCCGACATATTAACTTACCCGTAAAAAACTTTCACAGGGCCGTACGCGTTTCCCGCGGCACGAAGAAGCTGAATTTAAATTTGCGGGGTCACACGTGGGTGGGGAACGCTACCCAAAATTTTCAGCTTCCTAGCTTTTGTGGTTCCCGAGTTGAAAGCTGCGGACACACACACACACACACACAGACAACCCCGTAACAATATGCGTTTTGTACTGCTGTTCCACAGCACAAAACGCATAAAAAATTGCCACCAGAATGGACGGAGGGAGTGTTTACCTGCTCACTTATATCGATTCCACAATCTGAGTAGAACTCCTCACACATCACAGCAGCAGCAGCGCCTTCGTCTGTTCTCAAAAATTCGCTACAAGAGAATGTCCTGTTTTTTGGTGGTCTGCCCCGTCGTTTCGCCAACATTTGATTTGCTGCCGTTACTGAACGCCGATAAAACTTATGGCGACCGGCCGCTGCTGCAAAACGTTAAACGTTTGAATTAATTCCGGGCATCAAAGAATAACGAAATAAAGTGAGGTTCCGATTTTACCTGGTGAGATTCGAACAAAAAAAAACAAAACTATGCTTCATTACAAGAACAGCTCTATTGCTTAAACACCACTTTCAACC